GGGGCGGGTCTGTTGTGGCATGACACTGGGGTGCTGTACCGGTGGGGACATATCTGCTGTGCTGCTGGCAAATGCCCTGGCTGTCTGACACAACAGCAACTGTGCAGTTCCTCAAGTAAATGTATCGGAGCAGTGAGCCTGGCTGTTGTTAATTTAAACGAAAACACTACACAAGCTGGAAATTTGAATTTTTGGCACTGATGTTGGGCGGGGTCACAGTGGTTATCAGAGGTAAAGGTGTTTGAAAGGGTGAGGGTACTGTAGGTTGAGGGTGTTTGGGAATCTGGGGAACATGGGGTCAAGATGGTAATCAAGGTGGGGGTTTGTTTAGAGGCTTCATGGCTCACTCTTCTCGCTGGGGTGTGCGTTAAAGTTGAATTTTTTTTTCCCGCAGTTAACAAGCGTCTGGACGAGTGGGTGACTCCTGAAAGGTTGGACCTAAAGAAAATCCAGTTCCCAAAAAAGGAAGCTAAAACTCCAACTAAGAATGGCCTCCCGGGATCCAGGCCAAGCTCTCCTGAGAGGGATCTGGTAATGACCCTGCTGTTTGAATCGTAACTGTTTAGAGAGAGAGATAAAGACATAAGATAGATGTGTTGCGCAAGGAGGAAGGGGGGTGAGTGGCTATGAGGGGAGGGAGACCAGCGAGGGGATGGAGAGAAAGAGAGGGGAGGACAGAGAAAGGAAGAGGTTATGAGGGGAGGGTGGAGGAATGGAGGTGTAAGAGGTGGGCGGAGAGAGGGAGAGGGAGAGTGAGAGGTTTTGAGGGAAATACAGAAGGAGTGGGAGGGTATTGGTGGAGGTTGGAGAGAGTGGGACTAAGGTGTGAAAGGAGAGAGGGGCTCTGGTAGAGCTGAGCAACTATAATCTGGGAGAGCGAGGCTGTGAGGGGGTAGCGGGAGACAGTGGACGAAGGTGAGCAGAGAGAAAGAGAAATTTAGAGGTGGGGGCGCGGATGGTTGAAGTGAGGGATGCCAGGGGCGGGAGGGAGATTGGAGCTATGGGTTGGTGTGGGAACAGAGGGGCTATGGAGGAAGTGGAGAGGGGGTAAGAGATGTTCTAAGAGGGATTAAGGGGCCATGGTGAGACAGGCAAGAGAAGGGCCAAGGGAGAGAGGAGCTTGAGGGAGAGAGTGGGCAGGTAGAGCAGATACAGCGGGGAGGGGGCGGCTAGGGGGGGGGGGGGGGAGTGGGGATGCTACAATGGGGAGCAAATAGGAAGAGAGGCAGCAGGGGAGAGACTGGGTGCATGAGTGGAGAGAGAGGGAGTGTTTATGGGAGAGTGAGGCTGTGGTAGGGGCAGGGGATTAAGAGGGGAGTGTGTTCAAAGGAGGGTTTTGAGTTGAAATAAGAGTGAAAATGGACAGGCTGAGGGTGGGGGGGGCATGTCGGGGTGAGGCGGGGACGCACAGGCGGGGAGGGGGGCAGGGTGAGGTGAGTACGGACAGGCTGAGGGAGGGGGGCAGGGTGAGGTGAGTACGGACAGGCTGAGGGCGGGGGGCGTGTCGGGGTGAGGGGGAGCGGGGTGAGGCAGGGACGCACAGGCGGGGACGCACAGGCGGGGAGCGGGGTGAGGCGGGGACGCACAGGCGGGGAGGGGGAGCGGGGTGAGGCGGGTACGCACAGGCGGGGAGGGGGGGTGGGGTGGGGTGTGGGGGTGCTCATGGACAGGCTAAGGTAAGAACAGTGGTATAGGGACGTATGGGTTCAGTGGGAACATCTTGCATTTATATAGCACCTTTCACATCCTCAGGATGCCCCTGCAGCGCTTTACAGCCAATAAAGATTCTGGTGAATCTGGGCTGCCCTTCTTCCGTTCAAGCCCTATCCTGAGGTCAGGTGTCTGGGACTGAGCACAGTGACTGCAGGTGAAGTCTGACCAGAGTTTTCTGTACACCTTCCAGGTACAGTCCCCCTTAATGTCAAGGCCGCCTGTCATTTAGCCTCATTCTATTCTGTTTTTGTTATCTTTTTCTCCCAGCTTTTAATGATCTCTTAGACTCTGTCCAGCTCCCACCCCGCCCAAATATCTCTGCACCTTGTTACTTGCTGCATGAGCTGGTCTCAGTTGGGTGGCCATGAGGGTGTTTCTCCTGGCCGAGATTGAGAGGGAGAGGTGGGGGTTTGGGGGTGTGATGGGGTTACGATGGTGGCAAGGGGCGGCAGCAGGATCAAGGGAGGGTTAGTGAGGCCCTGGAGGATTTTGAAGCCTGGCAAAAGCAGCCGTATTTGTGTTGTTGGACCATGTACGTGAGTAACCTAATCTCTATTCCTCCTCAGAAGAAGACACTCGATCTTTCACTGCACACATCAGCAGCAGGGATTGGCAAAACCATTCCAACACCGGTACTGCAGATTTCTTAATCCTATTCCAAAAGGGCTGTCTCTACCTTCCAGTTGATGTTATTAATGACAGTCAGTGCAGTGCTTCTGTCCCAACCTCAGCGAGGAAAATTGCTTGTTCGTTTCTTTTATGATTGCTGGGCCCATTGCTCTACCAACCAGCTGCCCACGCTCCTCGCCAGTCCCCCCGCACCCCGGCTTTACTTGAGGGCACCTTAATGTCCTCCTGATTCTGTATTCCACCACTACGTCACAGCAGAGACTGACAGAGGCTCTTTGTCTCTCTTCACACCTCCTGCCTATTGTTTAGGTTTCAGCCACACTGTGGCTCCCTGGTTTCCAGCCAGATTAGATAAACTAACCCAGGTGGGTTCCATGGGCTGTGTTTATATTTCCCTCAAGTTTCAAAGATTATTGAGTGACTGAATCCAGGGCTTTGGGATGATTGAAGGATTCAATCCGGTCCATAGAGGGGAAACTGTTCTCTCCAGTTTCGAGGTTGGGGCTGTCACTGGGAAATGTCAGGATTGAGATTAATTCTTTTTTTTAAATGGGGAATGGGCCTTTGAAGTTACAGGATCAAGGTGGGTAGACTGAGTTAAGTCATGAGCTAACCGTTGGTGGAACTGGGCTCAGTGGGTCTCCCACTCATTGTTGTTTCTTCTTCCTTAACCTGTTATCATAACCTGCTAGGAAAATAGGCAGGCAAGAAGTGGCATGGTGGCTCAGTGGTTAGCACTGTTGCCTCACAGCGCCAGGGACCCAGGTTTATATTCACCCTCAGGTGACTGTCTGTGTGGAGTTTGCCAGTTCTCCCAGTGCCTGTGTGGGTTTCCTCCAGGTGCTCCAGTTCCCTCCCACAGTCCAATGGTGTGCAGGTTAGGGTGGATTGGCCATGCTAAATTGCCTTGTAGCATCCAGGGATGGGCAGGCTAGGTGGATTGGCTATGGGGAAATGCAGGGATAGTTGGTGGGCAGGGGTGGTAGTGGGATCTGGGTGGGATGCTCTTCGGAGAGTCAGTGTGGACTCAATGTACACACTGTAAGGATTCAATGATTCTATGAATGTGCCTACTTTGGATAGTGTTCTGTGTTGGAGTGAGGTGGGGACAGAGTCATTGGATCGGTGTTAGGGCTGGTATTCGTTGATTTTAGAAGAACGAGAGGTTACCTTATTGAAATATATAAGGTCCTGAGGGGGCTGAGTGGATGTTTCCCATCATGGAGGATGTCTGGAACAAGGGGGCACAGAGTGAGGGATCTATGGAGATGAGGAGGAATTTCTTGTCTCTGAGGGTCGTGAGTCTGTGGAATTCTCTTCCTCCAAAGAGCAGTGGAGGCTGGGCCACTAAATACATTCAAAGCTGAGTTAGAGGTTTTTAACCGACGAGGGAATTAAGGGTGAGGTGGGATCAGGCAGAGAAATGGAGCCAAGACCACAGGCAGTCAGTCATATACTGATGGACCAACAGGCTCAGGGATCTCACCCCTGTCCCTGTGTGAGGTCTGTTTGAAAGTGGGATTTTTGAGCTTGAGTTGGGGTAATTTTAATGAACCGAAATGCTCACTTTCTTGAAACAATGCCGTGAATTTTGTCCGGGGCTTAATTTATGAATCCTTGCCTAGCTTAGAATGGATCCATGTGGACTAGTTTGACCAAGGTGACGGGGAAAATAGGTTAAAACTCTCCACCTTCTCACTCCTGAACTTCTTCTGTGAATCTGGGTGTGATCACTCTTCCCGTCTGAATCACAAGGTTCTGAGTCTCAACCCTACGCTGGAGGCTTGAGCCCCATAATCCAGCTCAGCACTCCCAGCACAGTGCTGGGGCAATGTTGGCCTGTTGGTGGGGCAGGGGTGTTGCTTTAATTGTTGTTGTGACCCTCTCATGTGTATGCAAGACGATCCCCAGTTGCTAATTTGTAGAAGTGAGAGAGTTCACCACACTGTCCTCCGTGATAGCCCCTCGACCAATGTCACAGGTAGACAGTATCTAGTCATTAATTTAATTGTGGGCTGTTGCTTTACGTGTGCGACTGCTGCATTTCCTACAGTGACTACCCTTCCATAAAGTCCGTAATTGGCTGTGAAGCTTTGAGATGCCCTGAGGTGGGGAAAGGACCCGGAGAAATAGGAATCTTACATACTTTGTAAAGCCCTGTTGTGTATTGTACCAGCATTACTTTGTCTGTGAATGACACCCGTATCCCTTTGACGTGTAGCTTCGCAACATTCAGTCAACTATGATACAGATACAGACGGGGCCCTCTGTTAGTGGATTTCTGGATCATGTGTTTTTGCCATTACAGAAGGCTAGCCAACCTGTTTTAATGTCAAAATGTGCTGCAGCGGCAGGAGCCAGCAGCCTATTTGCTACAGTTGAGTTTTCCCCGGTGTCCTGGTGCTCATATCTAACCCCCTTGACCAATAACCGTCTCCTTCCATGAGATCTGGCTCTGTGCCAATGTGACTGCCACGTTCCCTTCATTGGTGGGCATGTCCTGAAGTGGCGGAATGGGCTTTATACAAATGCAAGTCTCTCTTATTGTGGGGAGGTGGTGGGGGAGAGACTATTATTATATCAGTATGGATGGGCGAGGGGAGGGCGTTTAAAGAGAAGTGTTCCTCTCCCCTTTTTCCACCCCCCACCACCACCTCCCCGCACCCCCCACCCCACCCCATCCCACCCCCAATCCCTACTGGACAACACATGTGCAAGCATTTGGTGAAGTCAGCATTGCATTTGGATGGAGAAGCCCTGTCTGGGAGGAGCCTCGTCAGAAACCCATTGCTCAAGTTGCACAAAGGTGATTGGTCCCTGTATAACAGCTGGACTGGTTCAGCCCGATACCCAGGGGAACAGCAATACTTGGGCACTGACAGCCCCAAGCTGAGCCACGAGTGACCAACCGATTCATCTAAGAGACCCCTCCTGTCTGAACGGAGCCTTCACGTCTAGAGAGTCATAGTTTCTGATCCCTGGGGTGTTATAGGGGCTCTGGAATATAGGAACGCCATAGTCCACAATGACTCAATTTGTATCCTCCACAGGAAAGGAAATCTCAGGCAGACTTTTGCCCCGAGCCATACTGGGGCATAGCGGGGACAGATGACCGAAAGCTGGGTCACAGAGGTCTGTGTTAAGGAACGTTTTAAAGGAGGAGAGAGCTGGAGAGGTTTAGTGAGGGAGTTCCACAACTTGACGCCTCGGGCAGCTAAAGGCACTAATGGTGGACTGATGGAAATGGTGGATGCTGATGAGGCCGGAGTTGGAGGAGCACAGAAATCTCGGAGGGTTATTGGGGCTGGCGGAAGTTACAGAGGTAGGGAGGAGGCCATGGAGGGGATTTGAAAACCAGGTGAGGATCACAGTCAGGCTGCCATTGGTCGCTCTTCCAGGATAACCTGTTGTGTCTCTTTCTCCCCCTTCTATGGTATTGTGTGGAGCAGGGCTTGCCCTACTTAGCCTCAAGTGCTAGTTTACAAAGGGTCCCTGTCGTGAAGATACCAGACAGGACCAACAGCATCGAAAACGTCACAAAAAATTTGTTATCCGTGAGTTGCCTTTATACTTGTTTGACCGCTTGCTGGTGATGTGAGTCAGTTGTGATGAAATTTAACTCCTTTCTAGCCCCTAGTATCCGTGTTCTGGGATGTTACTGCCACCTGCCCCCCCTTGGATTGGATGCCCAGTACATTGGCACCAGGGCTAGCCACTTAAATGTTTCTGTGGCTTTCTGTTCTGATGGCATGTGCTCTGTCCAAAACAACCACCATAACCCCATCCTCCAAAACCTTAGGGCCACAGTTTGGCGTCTCACCCTTCATCCCTGGGTGTCAGGTATCCAATGGTCAATAACCCTGGTTTAAGATGGCAGCCCTACAGGGCGAGGATAGAAGGGAGAAGGCTGCAGGGCCCTGTGGGAGATCAGTTCTCTGCTCGTTGAGTTTAAATGAGTCCATTGTCCAAGGAATGAGTGGTGTTGAGTTATATTACTGTAACCTTTCCTCATGTTGGGTTATGTTACTGTAACCACTCCCAGACCTGTGCTCCACTTAGCACTGCCATACCACCTTTGGCCAGGCAGGCTGTCCACATTTATAATGGGAACTCTCTATGTAAACGTGTCACGGTGTGGCAGCACCTCCACTGATGAGAGGGCGCAATTACAGTGTGACCATTTTACATAGGTACTGCCCAGATTTAGGTGTTTTTGGTGTAAAGTTGGCAGGACTTGCATAAGGGTGGTTAATATATTTGATAGGAAACACAGGTCGATTGGGGAATGGAAATGTTTTGCAATGTTACCAATGATTTGAGTGTACCTTTGCTCTAACTCCTTGCTTTCTGCAGTCTGGTCAGGTGCCTTATAGACTCTAACCTGTGCCTTTTATTTTTCTGGGGACCCTTTCACTCTGGCAAAATTGTTCACTCTGAATCCAGTTTGAAATCTAACCTGTCCTTCCATCCTGTCCACACCCACTCCAGCCCAGTGAGCCATCTGACTAGTCATGTGCTGCTCTCACTCCTTCACCTCTTAAAATTCCCTGCACAGATCAGCACATGTTGGTTGTTGGAGAAAAGATTATTTTCAAAGCTACTGCTTTCTAAGTTCTTTACTCGCTTTCAGTCTGTAGAGAAGCTATCACCACTAGGCATTCCTTTGTTTCGCAGTAGGAGACGATTTAGCTCCTTGCTTGGACCTTTTATAGGGGAATAAGAGGAGGCCATTCAACCCCTCTAAAGAGCTACACGGGAAAGGGAGGTGTCCCCTCCTTGAACCTGTTACATAGCAACAGCAGGAGGCCTACTTAGCCGCACTCATACATGTTACCCCCATATCTCTCAATATCTTCACCAACAGAAATTTCAATATCTTCTTTTTGAAAGGCCCAGTTATCCCTCCGCAAGGTGGTGTTGGTGTTAGGGGTACATCGGGAATATAGTTCTAGATTTCCAAATCCTTTCCCAAAATATAATTGGGAAAATTGATCCCAGCAGACGAGTGGCCAGCAGTAAGATGTTATTTTGCTGTTAATTGCCCCTGTTTAAGTGTGTGCTGGGATCTGAGGATGGTGGTGATGATTGTTTGGTTAGTTTTGCCTCTTGCTGTAGTGAGCTATCTTAACGAGGTGAATGAACCCTCTCAGGCACAAGATTGTTTATAAATGTAGCAATCCAGCCTGCTAGGTTCCTCTTATGTTCTCTCACGGGATTTGGATTTGGCTGGCAAGGCCTGTCCCTAACTGCCCTTTGAATGAAGTGGCTCGCTCGGGGGCAGTTATGAGCTATTCACATTGCTGTGGGGGCTGGAGTCATGTGGTAGGCCAGACCAGGTACAGATTTCCATCGCTAAAGGACATTTGTGAACCAGATAGGTTTCTACAACAGTCGATGATGGTTTCGTGGTCACCTTCACTGAGACTAGCTTTCACTTCTGGATTTTATTCAGCAATTGGAGATAGACCTTTTTTGGATGTCCTTGTGGCATTTGAACCTGTGTCCCCAGGGCATTAGAATGGGCTTCTGGCTTTCTAAACGAACATCACTATGTCTCATGTCATTATCTCTGCTTTATATTCCTTTCCAAATCATTTTGAATAAGAACACAAAAGAAGATATGCAGCATAACTGCAGTATACCTCTGGAAATGTTAGATTTGTTTGAAGAACTGAGGCCCCCATGTTACTTGTTCAGTATCAGAATAGCAGCGCTGCCTGAATCTCTGAACATCGAAACAATGGTGTTTCTCTCTCCTCAGCTGCTGATCCCTCCTGTTTCAGTTTGCAGAGGCCCCTGACCACCTCACAGGAGGGGCAGTGACCAAGTGCTGCTGCTGAGCTACTGTGTAACCTGAATCTCACTGCAGCACTTGGTCTGGTTCATTTGGAAGGTCTGGTGAAGCGGGCGATTGTGGTGGGCTAGGCACAGGACATCCTATTGTGTCCCCGACACCACCTCTCGAATGCGTAAGACTGAGGCAGACGCAGTGACCTGGCAACCTCCTGGAACGCGGTCTCAGACATCTTGTTCAGTATCTCCGCTCTGTAACCTCGGGGATGCCTAGCATGGACGTGAATGTTTGTGGCTTCACCATGTTCACTCATCTCACACCCCCCAACACAATGCGTGTGACCCTGTTTGGTGCAGACCCTGTCCCCTTCCTAAGAGGCACTAGTGCCCTTCTCGCTCCTTCCTGCCCCAGGGTACAGAGTCCCCAGATCCCGCCTCCTCCACCCCGCCTCACCATGTCAGTCACTGTTGTGATATAATGGTTCGATCAGGACGGGGTTCAATGCTGGCAAGCTTGGAAGGTTACGCAGAGAAGCTGGGCGGGGGGGGGTGGTGTGTGTGGCCTGTATGGGTCCCACAGAAGCTCTTTACATGAGAAATGTTTTGGATTCCCTTGCAGAAGAGGAAGTTGGAGGCTGTTTCCCTCACAACCCAGTGCTCTCCAGCAACTCCTGTGGCACCAACTCCAGAAATACCCACACCCGTCTTTGCGCAGGTGAGTTTCAGAGGCAAATGTGAGGGGGAGTGGGGGTTTGTGGGGAGGTTTGGTCTCTGTTGTCAGTGTTAATACTCCTCGTTCCATGTCTCCTTATCCCAGCCTATCAGTATATCCTTTTATTCCTTCCTGCCTCCAACACCGGCAGTTCCCTGAATGGAGTTGGGATGGGAGGTTTTTATTATTCATTCACAGGATGTGGGCGTTATTGGCTAGGCCCATCCCTAATTGCCCCGAGGGCAGTTTAGGGTCCGCCACATTGCCAGAATCACGTGTGGGCAAGACTAGGTAAGGACAGCAGATTTCCCTCCCAAAGGACATTAGTGAATCAGCTTGACTGACTGGGTGCTGACTGGGTGCTAACTGGATCCCAGTTCACTTCATAGAATTCCTACAGTGTGGAAGCAGGCCGTTCGGCCCATCAAGTCCACGCTGCCCCCTCAGAAGGGCATCCCACCCGGACCCATCGCCCCGCCCCCATCCTATTCCTATAACCTTACATTTCCCACCCTAACCCATCTAGCCTACACATCCCTGGACACTATGGGCAATTCAATATGGCCAGTCCACTCAACCCCACGCACCTTTGGACTGTGGGACGAAACCGGAGCACCCGGAAGAAGTCGATGCAGATAGGGGGAAGAACGTGCAAACTCCACACAGTCACCCGAGGGTAGAATTGAACCCAGGTTGCTGACACTGTGAGGCAGCAGTGCTAACAACTGAGTTGCTGTACCACCCTTCTTCCCCCAGTTCCCTGTTTCGTTACCTCTTTAAATCACTGCGATTGCCGTGCATACTTTCAAGGTTTGCAACATTTGAGCACAACCTGGGTCTTTGCTGACTTGCTGTGCCGTTCCCCCGCTTTGACAGAAGCGGCTGAGTTTCCATTCAATCTGACAACTCTCTGTCTTTGTCTTTGCAGCAAAATGGTTCGGTGAGGAGACCGGTGTCGGCTGTTGCTGGGCGGAAGAGGAAAGCCGGCTGCCTGGGGACTGATGAGGTGAGTTTGTGCGATGTGTCCTCTCTGCCACCTGCGCCCAGAATCCCAGACAATATCCCCAAACAGCATTATGGATTTCATCGGCTGCAAAGCACTTTGGGATGTCATGAGGTTTGCAGAAGGTCACAGTATTCCTACAGTGTGGAAAGAGTCCATTTGGCCCATCGAGTCTGCACTGACCCTCTGAAGAACATCCCACCCAGACCCAGCCCTCTACTGTATCCCCGTAACACCTCCACACTACAGACAATTTAGCATGGCCAATCCACCTAACCTGCACATCTTTAGACTGCGAGAGGAAACCGGAGCACTCGGAGGAAACGCATGCAGACCCAGGGAGAATGTGCAAACTCCACATACATGGTCACCCAAGAATGGAATTGAACCTGTGTCCCTGGTGTTGTGAGGGAGCAGTGCTAACCACTAAGCCATCATGTCGCCCTTTAATGGGTGTCTTTCTTTATTGGTGTGTACTGCACAGGAGGAGGCCATTCAGCCCACTGAGCCTGGGCCAGCTCTTTGAAAGATGTCTCCAATGACACCCACTCCCCTCCGGTCTTGCCCCCGACAGATCTCTTTGTATTCTTCCTTTCTCAGTATTTCCTGATTGCTACGCCCCCCCGCCCCACAAGAAAAAAGGTCCTGTTGAATCTGCTCCCATTGCCCTTTCAGGCAGCGTGTCCCAGATCACAGCAACTTGCAGCCTCAAATCAAACATTCTCCTCATCTCTCCCCTCCCTCCCTCTCTTGGATTCTGTTCCTGTGTCCCTCTGGTGACTGACCCTCCTGCTGCTGGGAACAGTTTCTCCCTCACACTGACTCGATCCAACAGCCCCCTTCCTGATTCTGAACGCCTCGATTCAGTCTCCCCCAGAACTTCCCCGTCTCCCCAAGGGTAATGATCCCAGCCTCTCCAGTCTCTCCTGGCAGTCTCACTGGCCCTGGGTGAGAACCCACTTGTCAGTCGAGTGGGAAAGGAGACAATGGACATCAGACAAGCAAATGAAAGCTGGATGCAACACTTCCAGTGTTCCGGGAAGGAAGGAACTATTCTCTTTCTTAACCCCAGGGTCAGCTGCAATTGTTAATTTCTGACCGAGCTGACACCACTTCATTAAAGTGGAGACACTGGTACAGGATTTTGTGACAGTGTTAAGAATGTAAAATTAAAAAAAACACTGTGGATGCTGGAAATCAGAAACAAGATCAGAAATTGCTGGGTAAAAAAACTCAGTAGGTCTGGCAGCATCTGTGTTGAGAAAGCAGAGTTGATACCTACAGTGGGGAGATGAAGCACAGGCTGATCGACTGCTTTGCAGAACACCTACGTTTTCTCCTTTTTAAAAATGACCCTGAGCTTCCAGTTGCCTGCGACTTCAACACACCACCCTGTTCCCTGGCCAACATCTCTGTCTCGGGCTTGCTGCAGTGCATCAGCAAAGCTTGGCACAAGATTGAAGAACAGCACCTTATTTTCCACTTGGGACCCCTGCAACCTTACGGACTCCATATTGAGTTCAGTAATGTCAGGGCCTGAGTGCATTCTCCCACGTCCTTACTCCAATCTCCACGCACTAGGCCTTGCAATCACATGGGCTGCTACTACAAACAATCTATTGTCAGCCACTAACAGTCCTCTTTAGCAGCTATTCATTATCCCAGGCTGACCTATACCTACTGCCTCAACTTCACAACGGTTTTTTTTTTCACTCTCTGGACTCCTTGTTCACCTATTTTCTTTAACGATGCTCCTCCCAGCATATCCCACACTTGGAGTTACCGCACACAGTCCCAGTCTCTATCTCCCATATGGAGTTACTGCGTTACAGACAGTGTCAGTTCTCATCATATCATATCATATCATAGAATCCCTCCAGTGTTGAAACAGGCCCTTCGGCCCAACAAGTCCACACCTCCCCTCAGAGCATCCTGCCCAGACCCATCCCCCTATGACCCACCTAATCCAAACATCCCTGAACACTATATGGGTGATTTAGCATGGCCAGTTCACCTAACCTGCACGTCTTTGGACTGTGGGAGGAAACCCGAGCACCCGGAGGAAACCCACGCAGACACGGGGAGAATGTGCAAACTCCACACAGACGGTCACCCGAGGGTAGAATCGAACCCGGATCCCTGGTGCTGTGAGGCAGCAGTGCTAACCACTGAGCCACCATGCTGCCTGGTCTCCACATGTCACACGTTTGAAGTACATTTTATGAAAAGGGATATTGAGGCATTGGAGAAGTTTGTTACAAAGATTTACAAGGATGATCCCAGAACAAAAAGGTTATAACTGTGAGGAAAGTCTAAATAGGCTGAAGGGCTGATCTGATTGAGTCTTAAAAGTGATGAAATGGGTATCAATTGGGTCCGACACTTGGAGCAGATAGTTCCCCCCCATGGGGGTACCAGATCTAGGAGGGCCACTGATTTCAGACAGTCCTGAAAAATCCATGGAAGATTTCAAGAGAAACACCCCCCAGAGAGCAGGGGGAGGGCGGCATTGGTGAATTTTGTCAATGCATTTCAGAGGGGTGCTGATTAAGGGTTGGGGTGGGTGAAGTGAAGATGGGTTTGGATGGAGCAGAAACAGCAGCAGATGGGCCGAACGGTCGCTTTCTGCACTGGATTATGTGCTGCAGGTTTACAGAATGAGCCACTGTTTTTGCTTCTCTGTCCCGCTTTTATGATGTCACATCGGTACCAGGAAGCTGGCTCCTGACATCACAAAACCTTTTAACTGCCTTCCGCCTCTAACGGTCTCGACAGAATCAAAAGTAACTCCTGCCTCAGGACAAGGCGAAGGGCTCCCGAGCAAAGTGCTGTCAGGAGGGTGCTGCTGTATCCCTTTCACCCAACTTTCACCCTCCTTCTCCCCCCCACCCCCGCTTTGAACAGGACTCCCAGGACAGCTCGGATGGCATCCCCTCGGCCCCCCGCATGACAGGCAGCCTGGTGTCAGACAGGAGCCATGATGATATAGTCACGCGGATGAAGAACATCGAATGTATTGAGCTGGGCCGACACCGCCTGAAACCCTGGTACTTCTCACCCTACCCACAGGAGCTGACCTCGCTGCCCGTCCTGTACCTCTGTGAGTTCTGTCTCAAGTATCTGAAGAGCCTCAAATGCCTGCAGAGGCACCTGGTAAGTGTGCAGGGTTTGTCTGTCGCTGGCCGGCTGTGAGTGTTGGGTACAGGCAGGAAGCCGAGCAGAAATCAAGTTCACCCATCACACGCGTGGTCTGTGAACGTTGACTAGGTTTTGTGACGTGTCCTTCGAGGGTTCAGTTCGATAAATCAAAATTTCAATGATGCTTCCAATGACAATGGAGGTATCGCTTACAGGATCACGTTGGAAATATGGCACAGGGGTAGGCCAGCCAGTCCCTTTTGGTATTGATGCAGCCTCCTCCTATCTTTCCCTCCTCTAAATCTACCATTGTAACCCTCTACTCCCTTGTCCCTCACCTGCTGGTCTCACTTTGCCTTAAATACACCTTCACTCTTCACCCTGACTGCTCCCTGTGAGAGCAAGTCTCCCTGCTGTTTTTGGGTGAAGAATTTTCTCTTGGATTTCTGTGTGACAATCTGATATAGATCGCTCCCTGGTTTTAGTGGAAGCATTCCCTTTAGTTTTCACTCGATCCAAATGTTTCAGACATTTAAACATCTCAATTAAATTACACAACGAGGCTTTTCTCAATTGAAAACGAGATTCAACCTCTCAATCCTTTTCTGATTATTTATTCTCATTCCTGGTCAACATGACCCAGCAGAAACTGTAACCTGCTAACCCTAACAGTGACGCTGAGACGCTGACTCTGTCCTTCAGTCTCGCTCTGAAATGCTGCCACAGGACATAGAATCCCTACTGAGTGGAAGCAGGCCATTCGACCCATTGAGTCCACACACTGACCCTCCCAAGGGTATCCCAAACAGACACACACACCTCCCCTGTCTATGTAACCCTGCATTTCCCATGACTAACCCACCTAGCCTGCACATCCCTGGACACTATGGGACAATCTAGCATGGCCTGTACATCTTTGGACTGTGGGAGGAAACCCATGCAGACACGGGGAGAACATGCAAACTCCTCACAGACAGTGCCTGAGGGTGGAATTGAACCCAGGTCCCTGGTGCTATGACTCAGCCGTGCCACTGCGCCATCCCTCTTAGGAGTATCTGTACTAAGTCAGGTTAAATTACACAGTAGGTGATCACAGCGCCTATATCACATACATGTATGCAGACATGTGTAGTCACTCTTACTGGTGAGGTGGTTGTGGCGAGGTGGGGAGAATGTCGCCTGAAAAACTCCCCCCTGCTTCGGAAAAAGCCTGTGGAAGTGCTTGCTGACAGCCCAGACAGCAATGTGCACCCTACAATCTGCTGCACGACACTGTCCCAGGTGCTGTAGCACTCCAGCAGCTGGCTTTTTATGGTCAGGGCCAGAGGGATGGAAGATGGTGGCGGTCAGGCTGGATTGTGTGGCTCAGGCTGCCAGTTTGGAGCTCGATACCACAACGTCCTCACTAGGTTGAGAGGCTGTGAGGTTGTTATGAAGCAAGGGCTCAGAATTGGAAGGGATGTGGTTAGTCCAGGTTGTCCTGCTGTCTTCAAAACGCATTTAAATGAGACGCCTTCTGAATTTTCACTCACTAATAATGCCAACCCGCTGTTCTGTTCCGTCAGACCAAATGTAACTTGCGACATCCACCAGGAAATGAAATTTACCGCAAAGGAACCATCTCCTTCTTTGAAATTGATGGCAGGAAAAACAAAGTGAGTATCTTCTGAATGGTTCAGGTATCATTCAGGTAACAATTTGTTATTCCCATGCTCCCCACCCACTAACCTCCACCAGCACAGCACTGACCCTCCAACAGTGAGGTGCTCCCCCGGTGCAGGCCCTCCTTTAGCGGGTGCACTGCACTGCATTGCCAATGGGGACAACCTCAGGAAATTAAATACTTAGGGTAGGAATTTGATCCTGTGACATTCTGACCCTCAGAAGAAGGTGCAAGAGAATGTTAATGTGTTGGGAACCCCATCTATCAGAAAGTGTCCTGCACGGCTGTTCTCTGCTGGGCTGCTGTTTCTGTCATCCCTCCTTGACCTTCAATGTTGTTACGATCACTGAATGCCCCACTATCAACATCCTGGGGGTTACCATTGACCAGAAACTCAACTGGACTCACCACATAAACACAGGGGCAACAAGAGCAGGTCAGAGGCTGGGAATCCTGCAGCAAGTAACTCACCTCCTGAACACACCCGCTCCCCCCCCCCCCCCCCCCCCCCCGCCCCCAAAAAAAAAGCCTGTCCACCATCGACAAGGCACAAGTCAGGAGTATGATGGAATCCTCCCCACTTGGCTGGATGGAAGCAGCCCCAACAGGACTCAAGAAGCTCGACACCATCCAGGGCGAAGCAGCCCCCACTTGATTGGCACCACATCCACAAACATCCACTACCGACGCTCAGTAGCAGCGGTGTGTACTGTCTACAAGATGCACTGCAGAAAGATCCTCAGGCAACACCCTCCAAACCCACGACCACTTGCATCTAGAAGGACAAAAGCAGCAGGTACATGGGAACACCACCCCCTGCACGTTCACCTCTGAGCCCCTCACCATCCTGACTTGGAAATGTATCGCTGTTCCTTCAGTGTCACTGGGTCAAAATCCTGGAATTTCCTCCCTAACAGCACTGTGGGTCACATGAACTGCAGCAGTTTAAGAACAGGCAATAAATGCTGGTCCAGCCCATGACAGAGAACAACACAGTCGTGAGAGACCTGGAAGTTGCCAGTGTAATTTCTTTAGTTGAATGTGGGAGACGTCACAGTAAAGTAGAGAAGGCAAGGCGGGTGGGAACTCCTCTCTAATACTGCTTCTGTTTTTCATTCATAAACAGAATTACTCACAGAACTTGTGTCTGCTGGCCAAGTGCTTCCTGGATCACAAAACACTCTACTACGACACCGATCCCTTCCTGTTCTACGTCATGACGGAGTATGACTGCAAAGGCTTTCACATAGTCGGGTATTTCTCCAAGGTAGGAAACCCTTTACCGTCACCCAGTCTAAACTCCCCTCCTGAGCAGCATCATAGCTCTTTCTGCTTGACACCAGGTTCCACCAACATCCTACTTCATCTCGCAACCACACACCCCCCCGCCCCAACTCGATCCTTCTATTCCTTTTCCCCTGCCACCTGTTTATCCAGCTTCCGCCTTAAACAATTCCCCGTGACCCCTCCCTGTGGAAGTGAGTCCCACATTCTCTGGAGGGAGGGCTTCCTCCAATGTCCCCACTCCCCTGGAGGGGGGAGGAGGAGGGTGTTTCTCCTGGACTCTCCATTGGATTTGGTCTTCCGCCAACAATAGCAAACATCTTCTCTACATCGACCTGATTGAAGCCCCTTTCATCATTTTAAAGACTCGATCACGTCACTCCCTCAGCCTCCTGTTTATGAGAGAATGCAGCCCCAGCCTGTCCAAACTTCCCTGATAGTTAGATCCTCTCAGTTCCGGGCTCATCCTGGTCAATCCTTTCTCTTCCCCGCCCCTACCCCCAAGTCTTGCTACTCCGTTATTCCCCAATACTAACTTTTCCGTGCCAATAAGCACAAAATCCACTGGAGAGTGTTCTTTTGAAAATCAGTTTGACATTTTTCACAAAAGTCTATTGGGCAATTTATTTCACACAACTTTCTTTCTAATCCATTCAGGAAAAAGAGTCAACAGAAGATTACAATGTGGCTTGTATATTAACACTGCCACCATATCAGAGGAGAGGCTATGGAAAGTTACTTATCGAGTTCAGTAAGTAGCAACACCTCACTCAGTCACTTAACTTCTGGTTCAGGAATCAGCGTTACTGAGAGAGAGAAAGATATCAGTATGTCATTCAGACTCTCCAGTCTCTCTTGGCCTCCACTCTCCAGACTTAACAATCCACAGGTCAGCTTTCCTGTTCCTTGTACGTGCCCAGTTTGCACAGTAAAGCCTCACATTCCCTTTCCTCCTCATTGTCCATTCTCACAGCAGCCAGCTGATCCTCCTTAGACAGCACCTTCCCAACCCACGACCGCTTCCATCTAGAAGGACAAGGGCAGCAGATACAGGGGAACACCACCCCCTGCACGTTCCCCTCTGAGCCAATCACTATCCTGACTTGGAAATGTATCGCCATTCCTTCAGTGTCACTGAAACCCTATTGTTCACCTCCCAAGAATGAACTGATTAAAAAAACAAACATCACTCAGTATACCCTCCATGAGACTGAGCTTCCTCAGTCCCTGCTCTTAGCCGGGGAAACACTCTTGGTACAAGACCTAGTGCAGGGACATCAAAGTATAGGCAGTCCACATTCCCTGCTCTTGCTCTGTTCCTAGCTACGACTGAGCCAGCAGCAACTAGTAAGGATCTACCTGGTAAGGCCACAATAACAAACCAGTAAATTAGGTTCAGGAGTAGGCCACTTGGCCCATTTAGTCCTGCTTTGCCATTCAATAAGATCTGATTACTCTACATCTTTGTATCTCCCCTTCACACTTACCCACGCCATCCATAACGTCTCGCCCCCTTGTTTACCAAGAATCCATCCACCTTTACCTTAAAAATATTCTACAATTCCTTCTCAGGTTATGAGCTCTCAAAGGTTGAAGGGAAAACGGGGACACCGGAGAAACCATTGTCTGACCTGGGACTGCTGTCCTACCGCAGCTACTGGTCCCAGACCATCCTGGAGATTCTCATGGAGCTGAAATCAGAGAACGGAGAGAGGCCACAGATTACAATCAAGTACGTGTCAGGGGATAGTCCTGGGGAAAGGTTGGGGGGGTGGAGGCGGAGGGCAGCATCTGTTCCTGTCAGAGTTGCTGGAGGTGGCACCCTGGATTCTATGTCCACTGCAGCTCTTGCCTCTGTGCTGGGAGGTTGTGGGTTCTGCAGGACGTCCAGGCTGGTACTGCCGTGCAGTGTTCCCATCTTGTGACCATTTACTGTATGTTTTTTATCCCCTTTATTCATTCATGGGATGAGGGTATCGCCGACTAGGCCAGCATTTATTGCTCATCCCTAATTGCCCAGAGAGCAACTACATTGCTGGGGGTCTGGAGTCACATGTAGGCCAGACCAGGTAAGGATGGCAGTTTTCTTCCCTAAAGGACATTAGTGAACCAGATGGGTTTTTCCAACAATCAGCAACGGATTCATGGTCATCATTGGACTCTCCATTCTATATTTTTCTTGAATTCAAATTCCACCATCTGCTGTGGTGGAATTCGAACGTAGGTCCCCAGACTATTATCTGGGTCTCTGGATTAACAGTCCAACAATAATACCACTAGGCTGTCACCTCCCCCGAAGCGCTACATGAATAGACAATTGTTAGGGGAGACAGTGGTGTAGCAGTTGTGTCATTGGGCTAGTAGTCGAAAGATCTGGCCAAGTACTTTGGGGACATCGGGTTCAGATCCCACCGTTTGAATCTAAATTCATTTCAATGAATTACGCCCAGAATTGAAATCCAGCCTTAGTGATGGACCTGGGAAACTATCCTCAATTGTCGTACAAACCCATCTGGGTCACGAGTGTCCTTTAGGGAGTGAGATCTGTCATCCTTACCCGGTCTGGCCTACACCGTGACACCAGACCCACAGCAATGACCCAGCTCAAGGGCAATGAGGCCCACGTCGCGTGGAAGAGTAAAGAGGACAGTGTTCTCAAATGTAAGTGAATATCAGAGAACGTCAGGATGGTGCAGGAGGGGAAGTTGTCACTAACCAGGTTTTAGCCTCACCGATTTCCAGTCTAATATCAGCAGCTTTCACTCCCCTGCAAACTCAAAATCTTTTATCTTTTTATTTCAGTGAGATCAGTGAATTAACCAGCATCAAGAAAGAAGATGTGATCTCAACCCTGCAATATCTGAACCTCATTAACTACTACAAGGTAAGCAAATGCCAAACATTTCACATCGGTCAAGTACAGCCAGATAGTCACGGAAACTTTAATCTACATTTAGGCTGGAAAAGTCAGGTGGGCAAAGGTAGTCTGAATGAGGAATTCTTAGAATGTTCCGGAAAAGTTTCTGAGACCAGCACATTCTGGAGCCGGCTGGAGAGTAGGCTGTATTAGAATAAAAGTAAAATACTGAATATACTGGAAATCTAAAAGAAAAACAGAGATTTGGGAACACAACAGGTCTGGCAGCATCTGTGGAGAGAGAAAAACAGGGTTAACATTTTGTATCTGGTGTGACTCTCTTCCTTGGGAGACAGAATATTAAAAATACCAAAGAACGACTGAAGAAAATACTGGGGAGAGACCATTGGTCCTTTAGAAAGTGTGTCCAGAGAATTACTAATGAAAGATAAACAGATGATGGATTGAACCGGTATTTTGCAATAGTCTTCACTGTAGAGGATATAGATGGTCAATTGTCAGAAAAACCCATCTGGTTCACTAATGTCCTTTAGGGAAGCAAACTGCCATCCTTACCTGGTCTGGCCTACATGTGACTCCAGATCCACAGCAATGTGGTTGACACTTAACTGCCCTCTCGGCAATTAGGGATGGGCAATAAATGCTGCCTAGGCAACGATGTCCACATCCCATGAATGAATTTTAAAAAATACAAGCAATAATCTAGAAACTGCTGTATTTCAACAAATGAAAGGGAGGTGGGAATCGAAGAAAATTGCAACAGCAGTGAGACTGAGTAAATTGTTGGAGCTGTGGGCTGACGAGTGAATCCTGTTTGACTTCATCCTACAGTGGTAAAAGAAGTGGCTAGTTTTAATTTTCCAAACTTGCTGTATTCAGGAAGGTTGCATTAGAATGGATGATAGTGAATGTAACTGCTTCATTCAAAAAGGGAAGCAGACAGAAAGCAGGAAACTGTAGGCTAGTTAGTTTACTGTCTATCATAGGGAAGATTTTAGAAGCTTTTCTTAGACATTCTAGCTCGGAACAATTCAAGGCAGAGTCAATGTGTTTTTGCAAAAGGGAACCAATTTATTTGAAGATTTTGAAGAGGAAACATTGCCATACTGTAGGATGGTCGGCAATGAGGGAATGCTGCATGCTACCCCACCCCCATCCGAGGTCCAGAGGTTTCAGGTAATATCGTGCACATCCACAAGCTGTCCTGGCTTCTGAGGAGCCAATCAGATCACTGTTGTCAGGCTGACAGTCTTTGTCATCCACAACTGGAGTCAACTCCCCAAACCAATCAGCTACTTGTTGCTGGCTGAATCTCACTTTGTACGCACTCCCTGGTGCTGGACCATCTGCAAATATCTCCCCCACTGCTTGGACAAAGCAGCTGTGTAAATACTACACACAATGAGGGTCAGGAACTTGCTCTGAAACACTGCAGCAGTTTCTTCTAGTATCCTTAAACACAAGTACCAACAGGTTCAAGAACAGTTTCTTCCTCGCTCTTATTAGACTGCCGAACGGACCACTCAAATTTCAAATCTAATGTTGATCTTGCTTTGTACACCTCCTGTGCAGCTGTAACCTCGTATACCTCGCTGTGTTCAATCGCCCTATGATCTGTAAGTCCTTGTTTGTTATGATCTACCTGTGCTGCTTGCAAAACAAAAGTTTTTGCTGTACTGAGGGTACATGTGACAACAATAAATCAAATCAAATCATAACCTTTGGTTTGTAAAACAGTCCTTTTCCCATGTCAGTCCACAATCAATGACTCCGAGAAATGCAGTGCTATACAGTGCTGCATGAAAAATGTCTACTATGTTTCAACATTACACCTTCTCACAGCAATTGCGTCCTTAGCTGTAGGACCACATTGTGACAGTGAAACAACGTAAGTTGGAGACCTTTTTATTGTTTAATATTGTTTGTTTGTGTTGGCAGTGTGACACGTGGGAGCTAAATCTTGCTGTTTTCCTTGTGGTTTCAGGGTCAGTACATACTCACACTGTCTGAGGACATTGTTGAGGGTCACGAGAAGGCAATGATGAAGAGGCATCTCCGTATAGACTCCAAATGCCTGCATTTTACCCCCAAGGACTGGAGTAAGAGGGGGAAATGGTAATGGCATGCAACTTGGGACCACGCAGTGGCAAAGAGGGAGAGAAACTGTCAGAGGACCAGGAGTGGATACACAGCCTTCACCCGCCCTGCCTCTCTTTCTCTCTCTTGCATACCGTCCATCTCATTGCACTGAAACAGACTCTCCTTGTTGTGAGTGCTGACCCGAGGTTTTCAATGAACGATCATTCGGAATCTCTCGCGCTGGTGCGCTGCCCTCCTGCTGAGCAAGTTGGGACGCTGTCAGAATGGGCGATAGCTGGATAGAGGGGCAGGATGTGACCTCCTGAGCAAGTTGGAAAGCCATCAGAATGGGTGATAGCTGGATAGAGGGGCAGGATGTGACACTCGACTCGCTGCTGAGAGTCGGATTGGGTCAGGTGTTGATCTCTGGCGCCTCTCCCACTTGTCACCAACCCCATCTCCATGGCCACAATGTTGAAGTATGGGTGAAACGGCCACCGGAGTCTGTTTCAACTGAACGAGCACTGACCTGTGAAGCCCCTCGGTGTGCTTGTTGGCTGGAGCAGCTATTGTGGACCATTTGCACAGATACACACACACTTCTTTCCAGTGTGCAGTTCCTGGACAGGGATCGGACTGCTATCCTGGTTTTTTTTACCCTTGCAGTTACCCCCCAGCCTCAGGCTGAGGGACTCTGCACTTCCCTCGGTCAGCCGGACCTCCCGCTGTGAAGACACAAACAAACCAGCAGAGAGTGGGACATTTTGCTTCGCTGTGTTTATCAAGTGTGAGGCCCTGAAGGTCATTGAGCAGGAGCCCCGCACTGGCAAGGTTGCAACATGTCAGCACTGCAGCTGACATACCCGCTGCCAGACCACAGCAAGGGAGTAGCACCAGGTACTGGGTCACTGGGTCACAGCAGCCCAGTAGCCACTGAGTATGACACTCTGAGATTGTCTGAAATATACTGACTCCAGTCTCCTACAAAGAACAACCAGGAATCTCAATCTATTTACAACTTCACACACTCAGGAAAACATCACAGATAAAAATAAATGTGCAGGTAGACCGTACACTGACCCCTGGGCAACCCAAGCCACAGGCTGAGATTCGCTGCTCATGTTTAATGATCATAGACATCAATTCTGGTTTGCTGCATGTCGAGTGAAAATGGCAACATCAAACAGACACTCTCTCTCCTAATGCAGTGGTAAATATACAGCCCAGGGGAAAGCTTTAATCTGTATCTCACCCCGTGCTGTCCCTGTCCTGGGAGTGTTTAATGGGGGACAGGGTAGAGGGAGCTTTACCCTGTATCTAACCCCGTGCTGTCCCTGTCCTGGGAGTGTTTGATGCGGGGACAGCATAGAGGGAGCTGTATCTGAATTCTGTTGCATCCTGCAGTCAAGGAGCTGTGTATCACGTTCTCAACCTGAATCCAGCAAGTATCACTCAGCTCGATGTCAGGAAGGGGAGGGCTCAATACCTTCATTCGCTATCCGAGATGTGAACAGGGTGAGGTCAGACAGAAATTGTAATCTCTCCAGGCCTGTAGGATTAGGATTAAGCCAAGTGTGGAGGTAGTGCAGCTTCTGAAACCTCCAGGGCAGGAGGGAGGAGAAATACTGGCACCCTGGGGAGTCTGGTCTGAAATTTTATAATGCCAAGAATTGTATTTATATTACAGGGTGAGGCAAGAAGGCGGATTGGTTTTAATAAACAAGTGTTGGGGAGCTGGGTGGATAGAGTGTGGTTGCACTGGGATCACAGCACCTTGCTCCTTGCCATGTGGTTGGCAGCTGGGCAAACGTCGACAGCCCAGGTCAATACAATCGTCTCAAAAGTCCTTCAGCAACCCCACAGCCCCTGCACCCACTGCAGTTGTGTATCTCGTGCTGTGGTGTCGATTCAGTAGTTACAATGACCTTCTACCAAGCTGGTGCTTGTTGCGTTCTGTGAGACTCTGGCTGTCACTCTGTTAAAGATGTTGATGTCTGTTTTGTAATCTGGTCTGTACAGAGTAAATATTAACGTACCATGCACCAGCCTTTCTGCACTGAATTTTGAGGTGACGACTGGCCACTCTGCTCAATCCACACCCCCCCAAAAAAAAAATACCAGATTTCTTATACAGTCGAGATGGTCATTGGCTGCTCTTCAACTCCAAGGTCTGAATACTGCACGAGCACCTGACTAAACATCTGCACTGTTACCCTAAAAAAAAACCTGAACCCCATCAACAAACTACAATACTCACTGCACTGTGCCGTCAGGGGTCAGCGCTGAGGGGAGGCAATGTTGTGGGTGTGCTGTGCCGTGGGAGGGTCAGCGCTGAGGGAGGGTCAGTGATGTGGGTGTCCTGCACTGTGGAGAGGCTGCGCTGTGGGAGGGTTAGCGTCGTGCTGTCGGACATGCTGTCTTTCCCATGAGCCAGCAAACCGATTCTGTCTAATCTCTTGGGGGCAGGGTTGGGAGGGTAGGATCTTCCTGCTTTGCTTCCATCCCTGTGAAACTGCCTGGAACCAGCCCCTTCCTTTGTCTTCAACACAACCAACTGGAAATGACAAAGCAGCTCAGGTAGACTGTGTATTGAAAATAATCTTTATTTCTGCATGAAGGTGTGACAAAAGGAGTTTCTATGCACAGCTGAAGCCCAATTGTTTGGTGAGAAAAAGATGGGACGATTACCGTCCGCACAAGCTTCCTGGTTCCTCCGAATTCCCCAGTGTTACAGTTGAAGATGTGCCGGGGTTTTGGGGCGGGGGGGGATGTGGAGACGCAGAATCTGAATTTATTTTTGTTTACCCAGGCCCACCTGCAGTCTATTCACTGTTCTTCCACTGGTGCATGAAGCTGTAAAACACAACGTAGAACACAACCGCTTAGAATATTTTACTGTTCAAATCGGTAGCGTCTCCAAAACTTCCAAACGTTAATTATCCTGTTGTATCAGTGTCTTTCAGTAAGACCGACAACGGCCAGCTGTCTTTCCACAGTTTGATCTTAATGAGCAGGGTATATCGGGGTTAAACTGGTCTGATGCAAGGATGCTCTCTCCATTAAATTTCAACTGTGTTGTTCACTCAATTTCCTTCTGTAGGCCATTTCCCTGTCAGGATTCCTTTTAAACTTGCTGAAGTCAGGTCCAAAGTTATCTGATAACAAGCTCCACTTATCTAGCTACAAGCAGTGAGAATTTGACCCTGAGGACATCAGGAGGCTGATAGCTAAGTCAGAAAAGGTTTTAAAGGAGCATCTAAGGGTGGAGAGGTGAGAGAGAGAGAGACAGGGAGGGAATTCCACAGCTGAGGTCCCCAGCCAGCAGAAGGCATAGCTGGGAACGGTAACAGCAATGGGAAACAGGAGCAGGGAGCTCAGGAATTTAGTGTGTGGAGGACAAATGGCAGACTTTGTCTGTGCAGAGCAGGACTTAGCTGGGCAGCAGTTTAGCATCTGTTGTG